TATATATATATATATATATATATATATTTTTTAGCCATTATATTTTGTTATTTTTTCTATTTCAAAAAACAAAAATTTCTTTAAATCAAAATACACGTTTTTATTTTAATTCGAATTTATCATAATATTTATCTTTATTTTATCTTCATAATTAAAATTTAAAATAATCCGACTTTATCAATTAATGTTTACTTCTGTTGTGAAGTTTTTATATGAAATTGCTTCTATAATTTAAAGTAATTATATGTAATAATCTACTAATAATCAATTATTGCTTATTTTTTTTATTTTACCTACCTAAAGAAAATATACTGAAATATGATGCTTAGAATTTTTTTCCTTTAAAAATTATATTTTCTTTTCTTTTCTAATTATATATCTTCTTTTTTTTATACATAATTCGAAAAGTATTATGTATAAAATCTTTATATATCAAATTTTAATTTGTTAAATTTTTTTGACTCGATAAAACAAAGCATAATTCGAATATTTTAATTTTTTTCTTAAATCTTCTACATATTTATTTCATGTTTAAAAAAATAAAATAGATATTTCTATAGCATTTGAATTGAAATTAAAAAATTGAAAAAATAACATAAATGATAATCAACAAAAAAATAAAATATATCTTGACAAATTATAAAATATATACATTAAGAATTACTTCTTTATCCATTAAAATTTTCCTATTCACCACTTGCTTCTTTACCGTGTTTCCATTCTATCAAAAAAATTTTTGGCGTGAAACGAACAGAATAAAAAGTGAATGACGAAAGAATATGAAAATCTCCAGGATATGTTCGATTTTAAGCAAGTTCACTATCCCGGAACTTTCCCTTCCTGAAATTTGTCTCGCCATGCACGATCAGCTGATTCACATGCAGGAATAGTAACGGCTGCGACGTTAAGAATATTAATAACAAGATGGTGAACCATATTTTTGTAAATTCCACATACACGAAACTTTTGGAAATTCAAGAAAACAGTTCGATTTATTGGTGAAATTTTTTTCTCTATGCAATAAACCAACACGAAACGTTTTTTTATATTTGAAAGATTAAGTTAGGTTAGGTTAAATTAAATTAAATTAGACAAATCAAATGTCAGGCGAATTATAAGTATAAGTATTATTCTTTAAAAATGAGTAGTTACGATCGATTAGCGATCTAAAAATAAAAAAAATAAAGAATCTTGAAGAAGATTTTTAATGAATCTCGTGTACAATGGATGATCCAATTTTTCCTATTATTTCATAGTAAACAAAAGACTAAGTAAGTTCTTTGAAATGATAATACTCGTATTCACAAAGCTGTCAAGAGGTATCATTATCATGCAAATGTGATAATAGGGCTGACATCATAGATTTACTATGCAGTATCTCACGAGTATTTAAATGTTGCATATTACAACGACAACATTTTTTCACAAAAACTCATCCGACGTTTGTTATGTCATTACTATCACTTTTTTTTCAATGCATTTCTTGAAAAATGAAAGAAACATTATCTCAAAGTAGGTTGAGAAGAAACATAAACTTCAATAACTAAAGAAATTTTAATATCTGTACTTCTTTTAATCTTATCTATAGTTTGGTTTTAAAGAAATTCTTTCAAGAAATTTTGATGGCGAAAGATATCTTTTCAAATGAAAATACTAAGATTTCTCAATTTTAGAGAAATGAAAAAAAAAACATGATAAAATCCAACGAATGAATGTTTATTATTTTTGAAATTTATTTAAAATCTTTAACTCTTTAAACAGTTGTATAGCATGTACATATCTTTTATTTGTTGCAATAATAATATAACTCAAGAATTGCAATTTATTAATAATATTAATGTATGAATAATCTTCTTTTTTTTACTTTTTGCTATATAAAATGTTATATAAAATTTTATAATTGATTTTTCAAACAAATACTGATCTTTCAATTTGAAATTTTAATGTGATATTCTTATTCTTATAAGGATTAGAAATATTTAAACTTCTTTTCTTTAAAGTTATAATTCTTCAATGTTATGGCATTGTTGCAGTAAATATACGATCACGTTACAATGATAAAATAACTATGTACAACTATAATAACATATTATAGCGATATAGAATAAAAATATATAGAAAGTACGATGAAGGATAATTTTACGTGAAAAAATAGAATAAAATTTTTTTATTTGAGATTTCGTTTTCGAATAAATTAAATTTGAAAATTTTTTTAAATACAAATGAAATTGAATAATTTTAAAATTTATTTCGAATGGATATAAATAAACTGATAAATGATTACTGTATATAAAAATAACTAAAATGAAATTATATCGCTTAAATCCATATTTCTGAGAAAATAGATATTGAATATTATATAATCCAGAAATCGTATAATCGAATTTTTTAATTTAATTTTTTCAAAAACTAATTTCTAAATGAAAAAAATTTATTCTATATATTTATTCATTGTATGTTTCAAAATAATACCATATGTGAAAAATACGAAATTATAATAGCAATATAAAGATAAAAAGTTAATAATAATAATAATAATAATAATGATATTTAAATATAATTATAGCGATGAAAAATTCTCATCATTATGCAATCTATTTTTAATGATGTATTGTAACGCTGGAAAAATTAACAATAACAATAAAATTAATATATTCGATGTGCATTATTCAATGCCGATTGAAAAATATAAATTAATATTTTTTTCTCTAAGCAACGAACTCATATCTTATGATCTATAAGCTTTCTTTTTTTTTCTTTTTTTTTTTTTTTTTTTTTTTTTTTTTATTAAATCACCTTCTTACCGAGGATAATGATCGAGACTTTCACAAAACGTTTGTCCCGGTTTTGCGCAATTTGGAGTGTGCCCTGGAGGTGCAGGTACAAAAGGCTCGTAACGTGGTCGTCCTGGACATCCGTACTTGGGGCAAGGCACATCGTAAGCGTTCACTAAGGATGTCTGCAATCAAATTGAAAATAAAATTCAATGTGCAATTAAAACAATGAAATACATATAACAAATGCATGAAACGTTTAATTTTTTTTGGTTAGCAAATGTATAAGCAATAAATTATATTATATTATAATATATTATAAATATATTGATTTTTCAATTATTTGATTTACGAAATTAATTTAACACTTAACAATTAAAATACTTTCATTCAAATATATCGTTCAAAAGTTTGAAAACAATTGATTATGCAAGAAATTATTGATATTACAACTAAGTACTTTAAGTAAAGAAAAATTAATAGATAAAATACTCAAAATTTATTTAGAAATAATTAAAAATAGAGTTGGTTAATTTTGATGAAGAAAAAATTTAAATTTGACTTATACTTATCTAAAATTTTGTTTCGCCTTATTGTTTCAGTATATGGAGATTTCAAGAATCAATGTAAATCATATTTTTCAAAAATATTTTATATAAAATCTTCTTATTATTTAAATTTTTAATCGATAAAACAGTAAAATAAATAGTAATTTAATTGTAAATTAAAAATATAAATAAAAAATAAAGAAACTTTTAAGTTGTGTTCAAAGATTTACATTGATTAGCTTCTAAATTTTTCATATTTTTTTTTTTATTATTAAATAATTTCTGATTGTAATAAATAAGTTTAATTTATGATTTTCAATATTTTTACTTTAAATTCTTTATTTCCAAATTTTTTGAAAATTTTCGTTTATCATAAAAATAGAACAAATAGAATTATACAATTATTTGATCTAGAAAATTAATGAATTAACAAAAATTGAGATATAAATATATTATATATTAGAACAAATTAAATTCTTGGATATAACGATAAATATAATGGTTGCTTAAAATATTTTTCATTTCATATATTTATATTAGCTAAATAAAATCGAGATTAACGTAACTCAGTCATTTAATTAGTATAAAATTTCTATAAAGATTATTAGGAGAAATCTTCTTCTTCGTTATTGCGGAATTCCAGTGAATCATGCTTCTCTGAAATGGTTCCATTAGCTCGCGGCGCTATACATATATGGAATGTTAATTTTACGTTCTTCTACTTTTATTAAAAATAATCGATATTAATGATTTATCTCATTTGCATTTCTAATTGTTTTGTACAAATTTAAATGTTTATATTGAAAGATAAATATACTATTCATAAGTCTTTTCACTGGTATATTTTTGAGCTGAAACTTCAATGCTGGTTATATTATCTGTTCTAATCTATGAAGCGATATTTAAATGTGATGTAATATGTTGGTACAATACCATTTAAAAACTTTCTTATGCCACTTTCAATTAACTCATGATAATCAATATCAGTTTTTTGTCGATGTACAAAAAATACTCTAAAATTTTAAATATTGTGAATTAAATTATTTTTTCGAAAATAAAACGATAGAATTATAAATATTTAATAAAAAAGAATAATATTTATAATAATTTTTAATTTTTAAAAAAATTTAAAATGAAAGAAAATTTTTATTAAATGAATCATAAATGAAAATGATGGACGGCATTCATAATTTATTAAATTAAATTAAAAAAATATCTAATATTGGAATTATATTATAAAAAAATAGTGAATATAAATTTATGACTAAAAGTGATCCATTTGATTTAACCAAACTGAATTATCAGTTTTATGATCACTCACTCATATATACAAAATCTTCTGTTTTATTTTCACTGATATATACATCCGGTATTACGAAAAGTATGAGATTGTCGCAATCTTACAAAAGATTGAATAGAGAGTCTTACGCCAGATATTACAATACGCGTCAGAACTGAGCATTACATTTCACTTACAGCTTTCACGATACAAGGAACTATTCGTTCTACAGATCATTGTTTGCTATAATGTCTAATATAATAGCCATATGTGCTACCATGGAATGCGTGTTTAGTAAAGTGGAACGAAAAAATCAAAATTATATAATTATTTTCTAATAATAAAAAATTAATTGTTTCTAATTTTTTAGATTTAATATGTAAAATATAGTTTCTATAAATTAATTTTTAAATAAAAAATTATTAAACAAAAATTTATAAAATCAATGAAAATAGCAATTTTTAAATAATTTAATATTAAAAATTTTAATAGCTTAAATATTATTATATTAATTTTTATTTAAAATCATAAAAAAATTTGCCTCTATATCTTATTCCATTGTAATGTTTATTCAAATGAATTACATTTTTTTATAAATTTTTATATTTGTAATATATATTTGGCATTATTTGACATTTATATTATAACAATATTACAAACACATATAATTATAACAATAACATATATTAATATTTACATTTAAATATGATATAAATTTATTATATATTTATAAATATTTCAATGTAAATTTTTATTTATAATTATATTGCTCATTGTAATTTCATGCTATAACAATAGAACAAGGATTAAAGCAATCTTTGATTTCGGAATAGTTTCATTCATCGGCAAACTAGAAAGTTATGTACTTGTTATCTTTACCGATTCTAACCACGTCGAATCTAAACTGCGTTCAATCGAAATTTCGCCTCGATCTTGAAATATATATACATATACATTTATGCATTGCATGTATACATTTATGCATTAAAAATGAAACAATTGACAATTTGTCTATTCTTATCACGAGATTTACTATTAAGATACAAAGATATACTCAACCTTCTTAATTTTTTTAATAATAAAATCATATTTCTACTTACAATCATTATTACGGCCAAAAATAATTTCATTTTCGAGATGATAAAATACCAAATTCGGATCACCATAATAGATTCAGTTTGAAAACACTTCACCAAGTCAAAACAATTATATCACTATTCTTTGTAACTAATTTTAACCACACCGCGATACCTTTCGCGAGGGTTGATATCTTTTAAAAAAATCAAATCACATAATTATAAATATTGCGCGAGTCTCTCACGGAACTAGGTTACCGTAACACGATAAATGATTATAGTGAAGCACGTGTCGATGTATCCGTAGATGCGCTTTATAAGCTAGATGGATCGTGGAAACGCTGATGTGTAATCATTGAGTCATGTGTGGTGCGATCGTTGACAGATATTGTCGACCG